AGCCTGAAAAATTTCCAGGTTCACCACTGCCTTGGAAATTGAAAAATTATTAGAAATGTGTGACTCGTGATTTGTTTCTGTTAATTGTCTGATTTTCAATCTGTTTTACTGGAGGTGTTTATCCATAAATGCTTGTGCTATCTGTTGATTTTAAGGGCCATTTTGAAACATTCGCTGCTGTTTGAGGGCCCTGCTTCACAGCAGTTTAGGTGAGCAGCAAATCACCTTCTGAAGTATTTTATCAACTTTGTTTTGTTTGAGACAGATGAGAAGCAATATGAAAACGCAGTGCATCATCCTCAACTGATGCTATTTGATCCCCGCACACTGACAATTTACTGAGAACAACACTTTATACAACACTTTTTTGCCCACAAAATATACAGCCAACTTACTTTGCAGTATATTCTGTGAAGCGCTTTGAGACGTCTTGAAGACGTGATAAGGTGCTATATCAAATGCAAGAATTATTATATTTATATTTCTTTAGCCATTACTTACTTCTACATTATTTTGAGCTTCAAAAGCTCGCAATCTGTTATCCAGAGTGATGTGTGGGTACCCTCAGAAGACTTAGGCCAAATAATCAAGAAGAAAATGTGTTGACTGAAAGCATATATTTAAAATGATAAGTGATTTGGTGATTTACGTTACTAGATGTAGGATGAATGTGCTAGAAACAATTCTGCAATGGCAAAATTAAGTATTATCTATAGGCAGTAATGGAATTGGATTAGCTGAGTTTTGGAGTCATTTTCTCACAAAAACTTTATTTTGCTTACAAGTATGGCTAGTATAATCGTTTCTAAAATGTCCCGTCAAGCTTTCCTCAAGATGTTCAATAAAAACCATAGAATTATGAACAATTAATCATATTTCTAAGATGCATTTTTTGTGACTTAACCTTTAATGTTAATTGGGATGGAAATTCTTTCAAAATGTTCTCACTGTTTTCAATACTATTTTAGAGTATGGAGGCACTTTCAGTGCTGTCTTTTGTAGCTCATTAGCAATTTTTTTAATGAGCTTTTTTCTCCCTATGATAGATAGTTAATGCAACAGACAAGTGACAGATTGTTTGCCATTAATTATTTCCATGTTTCAAACCCATTACAAAGCAATTAGAAAACTGACAGCAGATTCACTCTGCATTACTGATAATCTAAAGCGATGAGAAGTGAGAGATGATGAATTTTAATTATCTCTTTTCATACAATTATCATATATTATTATCTTGTTTCTCAAGCTGCAAAAAGTAAGTGTATGTAGGAAAACATTGCCACATGCAAATGGTGTTTGTAGTATTGTTATTGTCATGATAACACACTGTCCCAAAAAACCAGAATGTGCCACTGGAATGTTTTGACATAAAATTATTATCAGAGTAGGACTGTAACAATTGAAAATTGCAAAGTTTTCTGCAAGGAATAAATTTATTGCAATTATTTAAAGCCCTGTGCCTTCTTTCAAATCATTCTGCAACAAAAAACTCATATAGATCAGAACAGTTTCAGCATTGCACTTTATCCCAAGTTAAGTGAACTAACCGAGGCTGTAGATAAGTGTAGAAATTGGCCTTTGGATAGCTGGGGTGGGAGGAAGGGGAATCAGTTAGGAGTCTTGCTCCTGATTGTTATTGAGTGCCTCTTGGTGGAAAGTGGAGTCCTGTAGCTCAGTGGTTAGAGCACTCGCTCTGCAAGCGAGAGACCTGAGTTCAATTCCAGGCAGAGGGCGAAACCTTGGGCAAGTTTCCTTACTCCACACAGAGCCTAATAATAATCCCTCCAAAACCAAAAACAATAATAAATTGGTCATTTTCAATCCATCACTGTTTGTGGGGACATTGCTGTGCGCAATTGGCTGCCGCGTTTCGCCCACGGTCAATTCACTTTACAGTCTATGCTGTGAAGCACTTTGAGACGTCAAGAAGACATGAAATGCGCTGTAACAAATACAAGGATTATTATTTTTATAAGTGCACTGATGTGGACATCGGATGAGGACAGGATTGGGCTTGGCTGAGTTGGCGGACGTTTTCTAATAACATGTCAACATTCACAACAACATCAACAACAACTTGCATTTACGCGGGGTATCTTCCCAGAGCGCTTAACTATCTGGAATCAGGCATAAAGAATAGCCATTTGGGTACGGTAATGCTTGTTATGGATACACAATCCAATGAAATGATAAGAGACGGCAATGCACCGAAATTTCTCCAGACAAATTGAGCTCTCAGCTGTTGTCGGTATCGAGCAGTGTACACAGTGTCTATGTGTTGGCAGGTTTCAGCAGTTTTTGATTGGGTAGCAGGTTTACTCAGTACTGCAAATAATACTGACTGGAATAGAAAGATTCCATGGCCCGTAAATGGGGGAGAGGGGAGATTTGGGGTTAATGATGGATAAAATCTGAGATCCAAATAACAGGCTTGTTTTATGTCACTTCAATTACTTGTGTGGGGGGTAAAATGCTCTTAGTAAGGATTTCAAGACAAACAGAGCCATCAGAGAATTGAGTGCTCTATATTGCAAATTTGACTGATCCACAGTTTGCGTTGGCAACATGTGTATGCAAAATATAATTGTCTGGAGTTTAAGGCTTAATTTCATCGAGAGCCAGAAATATTTGTCTATTGTTATATTGGTTGTCAGCTCGAGTAATGTATTGCTCCTGGCTTGAGGCATACATAATTGCACAAAAACGAAGAATTATATCATATGAATTGTACAATTTCACATTGCAGTTACATTCCTCTAGGTGATCATATAAACAATGCTGGTTTCAACCTTTTTGCTTCATTTAACAATCAATAATCAAGGAAATATATTAACATGATTGTTATTGAACGTTTGCTGGACTTGGCTGGAGCAATTGATAATAACATAATAATAATCCTCGCAATTGCTTGAGCACCTTATCACACCTTGGAGACGTCTTAAAGCGCTTCAATAGATACTCTTAAAACTGGATCTATGTTGCATGTCTTGGCACGATAGCGAATAGACATATAAAGATATGTGACCAACATTGCACTGAATCAATTTCAGTGCAGTATAAATGGGAGCAAGGAATAAATATTCACATATTTCATAGTTGGAAAAGGGCCTCTACCTGGCACTTGAACCTAACCCCTAAACTGAAGATTACTGTACATTGGTGGGGAGAGAGGGGGTAATCTAATATTTTGTGAACAGTGAGATTTATCTGGAAAAAATGGGATAGATTTGCATACAATGATCTTATTGCTGTGGTCTGTTTGATATATTTCTACATATAATAAAAGGTGCCTTGTATTTTAAAGAGGCAGCATAGCCTGTTGTAAATACGCAAACAAGATGATATAAAAAGACATGTTGTGTGGGATATTATGCATCTGAAAGTTCCTTGAAAAGGATATATGCAAATTAATAATTAAATGACTGCTAATCACTAATTAACAGCTTAAAGGAGTAGAATTGTGTTAATTCTAATTAGGTAGGCACTGAAAGTTTAAAAATATCACTTGGAATATTTCGACATCTGAGTAATAGGGTCAGTATTACTTAAACCAGCGTGTCTGTCTGCAATCGTTTGGCTTTTTTTTTAAACATTAGATAATTGGTTGCATCGCTTTTTGCCTTTACCCTGTGTATAGAAACACCAAGAGTTCCAAATGTATAACTTCATACAAGTGCACATGGCACACAGGTAACATTCTTCAATAAATTGGTAGACCATCTCACTGTTCAATTTTTTATCAATATAGATTAGCAAGTTACGCATACAGTAGCTAAACTCACTGAAACATAAATTGAACTTCTTGTTTTGTGATCTTTAATACTTGTATGGTCTATAATGCTGTTATATATTACATTAATTGGAACATATATTGGTTAACTACTGTACCTGTGTCAAGCTAGTACCTATCAGTGACAGCCAGATGCTCTTATAACCCTGCTTTATTTAATGTATCCATAAACGGGTGCATAAACACAGCACAGCCTACAGATGACTAATGACAACAATATTCTAGGCAAGACATTTTAAATGCTTATTAATATGTTAGCAAATGCCCTGGTAATAGAACTGAGCCAAGTTCATCTTTCATTAACTCCAATTCTGACTTAAGGTTATGTAACCGTGATTGGTTTTGCACTTAATAGCCGTGTCTCTCTGTCTCGGTAATGGGATGAGAATATTGAAGTGATTTGATAAGGACTGAAAATGTTGAGTCAGTTGGGTGAGCTATTTTAAAGATATGAAATTACATTTTTGAGAATTGTGATCAAGTGAAAGTCTAATTATGTCGCCTTTGTCTACTGCGTGGTGTTGATTTCACCTGTGTGCGTATTAGCTTGCGGCTACGTTGATTTTGATATTAGTGGAGACATTGATATGAAAGGGTACCCTTTATAGATGCTTTCTTTCTGCTCAATCAGTTCACACCGTTTATAGAAGGTGTAACGCTAAAGAACATCATTCACGCTTCCATTTCAAGTTATAACATTATTCATTAACTGAATGAAACCTAGAATTTAGAAAAGTGTGCATCCGTGCATTTTGTAGTACATTTTGTGTTTTGTAATCTCAGCATTTCAGAGGTCTTAAGTGAACGATCTTTAGCAATTTATGTTTTGCAGGATTCAAGCTAAGTAAGTGATATTTGCTCTATTGAAATAATTCAGAACATTTGTGATTCACTATAAACAAATTATAAAACTATAGGAGTTGGCAGCTTGTGCTGCTGGTTTACATACATGAGATATGTTTCTTGAGATTTTTGTGATTTTCGTGATTGTTTTTTTTAAATCATTTTGGCTCAAAGTTAAATCATTCTTCATTATTAAGATTATTATTAATTATTATTTTGATTATTTTTAAGATTTCTTAACTCGTACTGGAATGCATAGAAACTTAGATTTGGATGGAAACAGTTGGTCAGTATTTTCATTGTTCGTTGCATGCATCTCATCACTGCCAGAAATGCCTTTAGAATAAAACTTTTTTTTTCCTTCTAGACAAAAGATGAATAATAAGAGGCCGTGCAGTTCAAGCACATCTAGCAGCAAGACATCTGGGACCACAGCCAGTAGCAATGCATCATTTTCTACTTCCAGCGGGTCAAAATACAATAGCCTAGAAGATATTTTAGTGCAAAAATATATTGACCAAATTGGTAAATCCTCTTCCCTCTCAGCCCGATTACAAAGGTAATGGTTTAGTGCACTCAACTAATGTTTACTGAATGAGAATATTGAAAGCCATATTAAAAGTGAAATATTACAACAGCAGGGAAAAGCAACAAGGCATGCATGTGTAGGTATAATGTGCTAACATTTAGGGTAGTTCAGCAAGTTGAGCACTGGATTAGGGGCCAGGAAATTCTGGGTTTGGATTCAAGGTGGACCATGCTGCCTTTGAGGTAGGAAAGAAGTACCGTGTCTAAAAATATCCTGGGAGAGAGAATAAATTTAAAATTTAAACGTATATTTCATATTAAAAGGATATTTAAACCACCGTTGCTGGTCAGACATCTGGTTTGGCACATCACTGAGACATGGACACAGGCGAAGAGGTGAAATTTGTGCCATATCATAACACATTTCTTGGGATAATTGTCTTTATAAAAGAATAATATAATTTCTGGGGAATCCTGACTTTATAATATTGCTCTGGGCATCACAGATTACCTAAATCTGCATTAATAATAATAATCCTTGCATTTGATATAGCGCCTAATCACGTCTTCGAGACGTCTCAAAGCCCTTCACAGAATACACTGTAAAGTGTAGTGACTATGTATTTTGTGAGCGAAACGCAACAGCCAATTGCACACAGCATTGCATATCAATTGGTGTGTATCCCTTTTTTGGCTGGTGTAAAAATTTTTTCATACAAACAAGAAGAGCAGAGTTTTGTATATGCGTGCAGTCTTTTTTAGACCGTAGAGTAGATCTGGCAACCTGGTACCTGGGCCAATACAACTGTGACCTGACTGATCCAATTGGACATCGCTGAGTGGCAGATGCCAGACAGGCCACCTGCAGGGAACCAAGCGAAGCACTAACACTGAGGGAAGGCTGCGGTCAGCTTCAGTGCTACTGGCAACGCTCTGCGCTTATTTCATGCATTCTGCAAACTCCACATGAAATTCGTGTCAAAGCTTAATCAATGTTTGATTCACTAGCCTATGGCACCTCTTTGTGGGTTATTAAGGACTCGGAAATTCAATTGTGGTTGAGAGATTCTTGCCCTTGCAACGGGACCTCTTGCTACCTGCTCCTCATTCTGCTCCGCTTATCCTTTTCCAGGGGAAGGGAAACAACCATTTTACCCGCTGCAACCAAACTTTAAGTAGAGGATCGTACTAACTTTAGACCTAGTTTCAGGCTAGGCTTAACTTTGTTTGCAATTTGTCCTTAATTAGGCGCTGGACGTACCTCAGGGGCATGCACTTCTGCGTCACATTATTTTGGAGTGCAAAGTCAAAGTGTTTGCTGTGCATTTGCCTTGGGCATGTTTTGACTCGAAACACTGTGCTTGCTCATTGCTCAGGGCCTGTGTACGTAGGCATGTCCGTGTTGAAAAGTATTTGTGCTTAGGGAGAGAGGGACTCTTAAATGTATGTACTGATGGTTACAATTTATCCTCTGTATCAGCTTTCCTGTTAATGGATATATATATAAATCAATACACCGATAAAATGTGATTTATTTTTGTTGACCAACACTCTGATCCTCTGCCACTTGGTAACGAACTCCAGAAGGTGTGTTTTTTCTATTGGACACCAGTCAAAGCTGGTCTGAATTGCATCATTTAGATCGAGCCTACATTGCCATATTTGTGCCGGAATGATTTGTAAAGTGTTTTGTTCAAAGTAAAAACCCTCATAGTAATACGAAAATTCCTCTGTCTGATTATGGGTTTGTGTGATACTGGTGTGTGGCAGTGTAAGTGCTGGCTTGCTCTGTCTCTGAAGGGAGCCTTTGCTGTCCCTCACATGTCTCCAGGCAAAACAAAGGATAGCAGCATGGTCACTTTAACTCATTAGACTCCCGTCCCTTGTCCTCAGCTAGTAATTGGATTTGGATTAAAAAGATTTTGAGGTTTAAAGCATTGCAAAAGCTATAACAACATTTTAAACTAGTATCTGGAAAGAGCATTCAAGACTAACGCCAGAAACTGTTTCATACGTTCAGATGTTGATCTTGTTTCTGTTCAGTTTCTTAATTTGGGGCTACTTCTTAAATTAAAATGCAGTTGATCAAAGAGAATGTTTTAAATGCCACAAAGTGGTCTGGGACGTTATCCCGCATGAAGGGTACTATACAAATGCAAGTTGTTGTTGCAGTGTGAAGTCAAGCAATAAACTCGGTTTTGATGCTTGTTTAAATTGAATTGATTTTATTTCCCCTCCCCCCCTCCTCTTGCTTTGTTCCATTAAACACATCTCCATAATCTAATCTTGTTGTTAACTGCGTGCCTGTACATTATACTTAATGTATCGGACGTGGTTATCTGAATGTGGACATACGAAACGTACACATCACACAATACAGGGTAAGTTAAGGGCATTGTGCAAATGTGACAATTCTACACTGCAGATTAAGAAAAGAAGTCAAGGTAAAACTAGAAGTTAAATGGGATTTAACTGAAGTACACAACAGCATTGTGTCAGTCAGAGAGGGAAGAATAGTAGCACATGGTAATGGATTAGAAGGTTTTTGTCCACATTTAGTGAATTGTATATATAAGTAATGCCTGCCCAGTCGAATTCTCACAAATAGCTGTAGTGCTGAAGAGAAAAAGGCTATTTGACATGCATGTAATACTTTGGCACCAAGCCTCAGCAAGTCCTAAACCCTGCCAACTGTCATTATCCTACTGGTAAATTCAGTTCTTATAAACTGTGTGATAGCACAGAACTGCATAGTTCTCATTGAAGCAGGGCCTGTCTGAGTAGCGACATTTTCCAGCGTTGAATGGGACTGTTGGCCTCATGGGGATTCATGTCTTACAATGTGGTAAGTGATTAGATTGGGCCAGGTTTGAAAATGCTCCACTGTTCTGCCACTGCTGAAAGACATTTCCTACTCTTCCTAGCCAGCTTTGTCAAAGCAGTGGATTATCTCTGTGGTTTTCTTTGTGATGTGTATGCTAACCTAATACCGGCATACTAAGGGTCTGTAATGTATAAGAAAAGTTTCCTCTCTCTTGTCTCTCTCACACACACACACACCCACACAAGAGAGGAATAAAAGTTATAACACCGCTTTGTTTGACATGCTAATATCATTTTAATAGTTTGTCCCTTTTCACCAATTCAGTTTTTAAAAAAAATCTAAATGTCATGTTTTATTTAGTCTGGTTTTTAGTCAGATTGTGATTGTGTGTTTAAAGATGTAGATATATAAGTATTAAATAATAGTCAGTTAACATTGTGAATTATAAGCCTCAGTTTATCCACACATGTTGAAGAATTGAATTTAACCCTGTGCTAGCTGAAATTTTTCATTTTTGCATCATTAGCAAATTGTGTTTTTTCACTGAAACTTGTCGGAACTCAATTTACAGATTAATCTCTAAATCACTGCTTATAATAATGATTGATCATATCTGGAGTATCCATTGTAATGCTAGATGTCAGGATGATGTCTAAGTTAAGAGTTCAAACATTGTTTACTATACTTTTTCTTCCCACTTCCTCCCACTTGCCATCAGGCACACTTGTCAATCAGGAAACATAATGGTCCAGACTAGGCTTTCTCCTTGATCAAACCAGATAAATCCTTTTTCTCTGCTGCCTACTCCCAGGGAATGAATGTTCTACTATCTACAGACTGTTCCTTTCAATGAAGAAGCAACAAACCTTCTTTACTGAAAGGAAGAGTGATTCCCCCAAGCAGAACTTTATTTTATATTCATAATCTGGCCCTTGACAGAATAACAAAACTATTTTTTGCATTGTTTTCTTAGGGATCTTGTTAGAACATAGCGTCTATATCATGTAATACTTTTTTTTGTTAAATGGGAACAGTTTTGAGAAACTGAATGAAGATTAAACTGTGCCTGACTGAATGGGTTGTGGTTAGGGGAGTTAGGCCAGAATCAGGGGAGTGAGGGGGCTGGAGATGGGGTGTAGGAGGTATGCCGTAGGATGCCGCAGGGATCTGTACTGGAACCCCTCCTGTTCCTTGAATACATTAATGACCTGGAATCGCAGACTTAGTGTCAAGTAGATGAGGAGGGGGTGGAGTGTGGAATTAGAGGAGGCAGCAAAGATCTTACCAAGGGAGCTTGTTAGGGTGTACAAATGGCTGATGTCTAGCAAATGAATTTCAATCAATGATAAATGCAAGGAACTGCACTAAGGAAGTAGGTCTAAGTAAGGGGCACATGTTAAAAGAAACATAGGGGAGGTGAGGAGAAATGTTCTCACACAGTGAGTTGTTGGGATCTGGAATGCGTTGCCTGAAAGGCTGGTGGAAGCCAATTGGATAACAACTTTTAAGAGAGAAGTAGATAATTATTTGGGGAGGACAAGTTTGCAGGACTACGGGGAGAGAGTGGGGGAGTGGGGTTGATTTGGAAAAGCTCCTTTCAAAGAGCCCACAAAGACACGATGGGCTGAATGACCTCCTTCCGTGCTGTATAATTCTGTGTACTCTATAGACTGGATAGAACTTGTCATGGGGGCAGCAATAACAACAACAAAATTACTTTTAGTGCGCGCCTTTCACATCGGAAGGATGTCCCAAGGCGCTGGACAGTCAGGGGTCAGGACCTGAGCATGGGAGAGGGGTGGGGTGGGCGGGGGAAGGCAGAGAAGTTGGAGGGCGACCAATGGCATGATCGAAGAGGAGGGTCTTGAAACCGGCCTTGAAGGTGGCAAGGGAGGAAGCGAGGCAAAGGGTTGGATTTCCAGAGTGGGGGCAGAGAGGCTGAAAGCCCGGCCACCGATAGTAGGACGGGTCGGGCGGGAGACATGGAGCAGACTGGAGCCTGCTGAATGGAGGGAGCGGGCAGGTTGGTAGGGAGTCAGTGGGTCAGAGAGGTAGGAGGGGGCGAGGCCATGGATGGCCTTGAAAGTGAGGATGAGGATCTTGAACTCGATCCTCTGGGGGATGGGGAGCCAGTGGATCGGGCGAGGGTGGGAGTGATGGGGTCATGGAGCCTGGTGTGTGAGAGTACACGAGCTGCAGAGTTTTGGATGATCTGCAGCTTGTGGAGGGAAGAGTGGGAAGGCCGATGAGGAGGGAGTTCCCATTATCGAGCCTTGATGTGATGAATGCGTGGGTGAGGGTTTGGGCAGCCTGAGGGGTGAGGCAGTGGCGGAGTCTGGCAATGTTGCGGAGGTGGTGGTAGGCAGTGCCGGTCATGGCGCGGATGTGGGGGAGAAAGGACAGTTCAGGGTCAAACAAGCCCCCCAGGTTCCTGATTGGCTTAGTGAGGTTGAGTGTGCAGCCGTGGAGGCTAATGCTGCCAGTGCCAGAGGTGTGGAGGCATTGGCGCGAGCCAATCAGGAGGGCCTCGTTCTTGCTGCAGTTGAGTTGGAGAAAGTTGTCCCTCGTCCAGGACTTGATGTCGGACAGGCAGTCGGTCAGGACACCAGTAGTCCTGGAGTTCAGGGTGGAGGTAGAGAGATAGAGTTGGGTGTCATCTGCATACATGTGGAAATAAACAAGGAAAATAGGATGTTGGACTACGTTGTTATGTCAGTGGAGTTCAGAGCCCCAGAAGTTGTACTGAAGCTGTATAATAATAAACCTAAGGTGGCTGCCCAGGACCTAGAATAAAAAGGCTTTGTAGTATTTAATATATCAAACCAATCAAATGTTATTTTTTATTATTATCAAATGGTGGTTGTCAATATATACGGATATTAAATGTTTTCAATTCCACTGTTGTGTATGAATAAAATGTGATTTTTTTTATATACAGGGTGACGAAAAGTCATATTATTATCTAAAAAAATCAGTTCTTTAAGAGTTACTAGACATCGGTAATGGTATCACGACTTTTCGGTCACCCTGTATATTCGTTCGCCTTTGTACAACAAGGACTTAAAAGAAAGCTTACGTGTCTTTTTATATTCAGAAAATATTCATCCCCTTATGCAAAGAAAATCAGTAAAGATCTATCACTGAAAAAACATCGCTTGGGGTCTGCTGCTGGCCGCCGTGCTCTCTCACATGGATTTCCTGCTCAATCACACACCTCAGCCACATCAAGATCATCACGATCCCTAGATCACACCTCACAACAAAAAGCACCGATTCCAGTCACGGTTTCGGACTGCAACATCAATGCTTCGAAATGTACAGTTCAACACGCTCTGCAGTCTCCGTTAAGGACTAAGAGGCCTTGCAGTGTTCCCAGTGGCCATTTCAGGTAATAGCATCTACAGTTAACTTCCACCAGTCTGCACGCAAAAGTGTGAGGTGAGCACTTTGGCCCCATTGAGCATTTACCACAGCATAAGGGGATTGGCCAGTCCCTGGAGACAGTGCAGCGAAGAGTACCCCAGTTGATTCCCAGTGTTAGAGGAATTGGCGATTAGTCAAGTTAGGATCCTTCAGTTTTGCAAGGAGAAGTCTCACAGGGAACCTTAGAGAAGCATGTGCAATTTTAAATGGGATTGAGAGAGTAAACTCAGCATAATACTGCACCAAGACAGCAGAACAAGAGGACATGGGTTTAGTGTTTCAAAGAATAATTTTGAGGACAGACACCGGGAAGAATTAACAACTGGAACAGGTTACCAGGAAGGGTGATTGAGCCAGAACGCTGGACACGTTTAAAAAAAAACAGCTTGACCCTGTAATAAAATGGTAGGGTGAGTATTCTGGAAGGAATAGATCAAGTGGGCCGAAGAGTTTTCTTCATCCAAAACTATCTTGTGATTTTTTTTTAACAATCATTAATATACTGTAATTTGGACCAAAATACGTAACAATATTGAATCTGCATTTGGAAGGTTCTCCATCATAATTAAAACATTATGTAAGAAAGTGTGGGATAGAAAAGTATTCTTAATATTTTATTGTCACGGTGAATATTTTTATACATGGGTTTTTACTGTTGCATTAGCAATATAATATAAAAGAATATGTTACAAAGTAAAAATTCAGGTGGATTCAGCCACATTGGGTGTGAGTTAGGTATGGAGACAGGTGGATGGCAAAGCTGAAGCAGAGTGGTCTTGGTCAGGGCTCTGATATAAGAAGGGAAAGGAAGCTGAGAGTCGAACACGTGCGAATGGCAAGGTTGTTCACAGAGTTCAGTGAGGTGGAGGGAGCAGTCAGGAAGGAAGATTGAGGTATTCGGTGCTGAAGATAAGGAGGTGATGGCAGGAACCTAGGAGGATAGCTTCAATCCACATGTTCATATTCAACTGAAGGAATGTGAGATATCTGAGAAGCAAGTGGTCAGTGCATCACCTGAGAGCCATTTCCTGTTTGCTCACTAATATCCACCTTCTCTCAGAGTTCCCCTTTTATCTTACACAGGCACTCAACTCCGAGAACTGACACGAAGCTAAAAGTTTTTCTTCGTCGACCACATCTCATAAAGGTGATGGCATTCAAGAATGGAACCAAACATGTCTTTGCCAAAGTGACAGTACCTAACATCGATATGGTAAATGGCTAAACTGATATCTCTTAAGGATTTCTTAGAATATTTATGTTAAAAATTGACGTTTCGGACTCAAATTGTGTCAATCGATAGCTGTTGTTTTAAAATGCATGCACGTGGAATCCTAGAACACTAAAAAAAAACATTTTTCCTAACATTTGAGCTTAAGAAACATGTTTTGGATGTTTGTGTTTTCTTCATTTTCTGTGTATTTGCCTTTTTTCCCACTTACATACTTTTATAATCCTACTTTATACCTTTACAATCTTATTGCTGTGTATCTTTTCATTTTTTATTACTTTTTATTTTATTTTCTGTCTTTTTTATTGCTTTGTTCTTTCTGACGTTTACTTAATTTCCCACTTTGATATTCTCTTTTGTTTGCTCACAAATTGTCTTCTCTGTCCTTGACTCTAGGTTACTGTTAAATTCTAAATAACAATTCGCTGAGTCTATCTCCGCAATCACCAGAAAAAAATCTTTTGGTCTTTAGGATAGGATTTTCTAATCTAAAATCATAAAATGATTGCTGTGGTTGTGCATAGTAATCCTCAAAGTCATTGGTTATTGATGACTAGCACAATAGGTATCAAACGAGAAGGTATCAAACATCCAGAGCAAAGTCATAATCAACATTTCTCTCCCCCACCCAACCCCGCGACTCACATTCCACTTCGGAAAAAAGCAAACTGGTTTCAAGGTATTTATAACGCACATTCAAGCAGTGAAGATTAATCTTTGAAATCAGTCAATTTGACAGATTATCTCCAATTAATAGACTTGTGTGCATGTCTGCAACTAAGCGACTCTGCTTGAAGGATCCGTTCCTTATGGTGCAATATCCCTTACATTGTAGGTAAGAGCAGGACTCACCTTTTCACACATGTTTAATAATAATCCTTGCATTTTACTGAGTAAAATACTCCAAACCACGGAATGGCATTGCGAATGGATTTTGACACAAATGCCAACCTTGAATTGGAAAGTTTTTATTGTTAAAAAATGATGCAAATTAACATTTAACTGTTCTCGATGGAATGCACACTGATTAAATACAAGGTCTTAGCCCATTCCTAATGTGAGAGGTTGATACATCCCAATACTAGCGTATTGCAGTTATAATTAGATGCAGTGAATTTCATTATTACAGGAATATTGTAGAAACTGTGTAGAAAGGTTGCATAATTTAATGATCCGGTTACTCTCTAAATTGAGATTTTTTTGGCAAATATTTGACAGCAGGTTTTCATCAACCTTATCGTATATCAAAAGCTAAATCTGCAAGGAAACAAATTAAGCATAATTACCATATTGTTATCACTCAGCCAGGAATATCTGAGAACATTTCTTTATTAGCAGAAAAGCTAAAAATACATAAACTATAATAATAATCCTCGCATATGATATAACGCCTTATCATGTCTTCCAGATGTCTCAAAGCGCTTCACTGAATATACTGTAAAGTGAATTCACTGTATATTTTGTGGGTGAAACTAATGGTAACATCAGATTTAAGGAAACTATGAAAATACAGAAATGGGAAGGGGAAACCAGCAACTAGCAGACAAAGCAATCAGACATTTAGACATAACTTTATGTAAGACAGAAAGTCAGGCTGTTCAAGTGGAGAAAGGGTTAAGTGCTACAATGAGAGCTGATTACTCTAAAAGGCCTTAAATTACAGATTTGGATAATGATTGCCCTTTTAAAAATGCTTAATTGTATTTGTAATGAAAAACATAAGGGTCATCTCTGATCCTTTTTTGCATTAAAAAGGCAAAGCTGAAACTCAACTCTGTCCATTTTCAGTTGTTAGAAGAAAGCACCATGAAGCTGAACCTGATTTCTGCTGCTCGCCGTGTGTTCCTCCCGTGTGGCAAAGAGGTTTTTCAGGCGCAAGACATCCCTCCTGATACCGACGTTTACATTTCATCCGGCGAGTCATTTGTGGACCCTTTAAAAACAATCAAAGGTACAAAAGGGTGGATTATTGCTCTAGAAAAAACATCTGGGATTGGAAGAGGGCATTTCTCATACGCTGACTTCTCATGGTTTCTCAAAGTCTAATGTTTCATCATTTCTACCACATGTTTTAAGCCGCCTTCAGTCGCCGCTAACATCTGTGGATAATTTATGATGGACCTTCACCAGAGGGAAGAAAAACTGGGATCAAACCTTGCATTTAATATTGAGTTTAATTAACGCTTAGGCTAACGTTGTCAAGCTCATCACTCAAGACAGAGCAATGATGTGAATCATTCACCCTAGCATCCCGTACAACATTAAAATGACCAAAGCAGTTGATATTAATATATTTTAGTCATTGCATCAACATCCTAATCACCAATAGGGAACAATGTTTTTGAATAACTTGGATTTTTCCAGTCTTTGTAAATTGCAAACAGTCGCCTCTATGGTAGCTGAGCAGCATAATATGTAAGTGCTTTGTCACTTGTGTTGTTTACTGATAAACAGTAATTGTGATTCTTAATAAGTTTTATTTACCAAAGCATTGCTCCATTCATTTAAAGGCTACTGATGCTTAGTTTGCTTTGAGCAAATTCAATCAAAATCCCACACTGAGCTTATTATGAGTTCTGTGAAAAACATAATGTTCCTCTTAAAAAAAATTGCCTACTTGCCTTTGTGGTAACTGAAATTGATTTGTGTAATCCTTTTATTTTCAGACAGCTTACACTGTTTGATAATACGTAAATCTACAAGCCCAAGAGTTTAAGCGTTGATTTGTAAACATATCACTCACCTTTGCAAATTCGCACTGCATTTTGTTTTGAATCATACATTATTTTCATTTCAATATTAACCACATTTAAAGGGAACCTTAATTACATCAACGGGCTCGGGGGGAAAACAAGAGTAGTGATATTCTGGCTGTGGTACAATTTGCTACCATAGAGTTTCGAAGATGAACGATGAAGAGGAAGTCGAGGTTGAACAGTCCCTTACAGCAGCAGCTAGTATTCCAGCTGCACTTTCTCTTTTAATAGGCTAAATTGGGAGGACACACTTATATGCTTTGTTTCTGTTTCTCTTGGCTGTATTTCATGGTGACATGCACTGCTGTTCTTTCAGCACCAAAATGTTGGCACGCAATGCTGAGATTTCATACCAGCTCTTGCTGGATCAGCAAGTTTAACCCACAGAAATCTGGTGCTCTGTTATTTCTTTTGACTGATAATCAATCTTAGTGCTGCTCGACAGTTGTCGCTGGGACATAGACTAGAGCAGGTGGCAGATGGGCCTTGTCACCAGAGAACAGGGAGAGTAGGTACACGAAGGGGGAACAACAATCTGTAGTGTCCCCATAACTTTAGGAGGGCCATGTTATGAAGAGTTATAAACGTGATAGAAAGGAGCAATAATATGTCTTGTGCAATTGTGATCATGCTATTGATATTGAGTCTAGATCATCAGGAGAAAAATAATTGAAAAGTGAAACTGCTTAAGTGATGTGTTTACCGGGGAAAGTGAGCATGTCAGAGAACTGGGATATTTACCTTGAGTAATGTAAAGAAAACCACAGATATTCTTTTCGCACCTTTTTTTTTTGGCATATTGAGAATAATTTCTTGACAGGCCTTACGGAACTAATATTCAAATTGTGTAACAAAGCATTTGAAACAGCGCTAGGCAGAATGGACAAATGTACCATTGTGCTAGTTTTAATTTGACTTATTTTTCTGGAAGATCACAGCTGTTGCAGTAACTGGGCCTAGAGCTGTTATGGGTTAAAATATTAACAAGCATCTTGGAGCGGTAAAGGGCAATTGACATTAAGGGCTGTAATACTTTTGAGGAGAACTATACTGCTGGAGATATTTAATAAGAATTTTCATTGAAGGTCAGTTCATTGGTTGATGTAACAACATGTGGTGTCACGGAAGAGCAGGGTAGGGTCACACCCATTATCCCCCATTTAGTGGGTGTTTGTTGGGAATTGGAAATTGTTGGGAAGGTAGCAAGCAATTCTGGACTCTTCCCCTTAAGTGAAAGGAGGAACGGAAATCAGAGGGACATAATCTGGATTGCATATTGGCAGAGATCTAAGAGCAGACACTTTACCCACTCACTCACCATCTTTTCCAGAAAATAATGTATGTATTGTCAGACCTAAATAAAAAAAATTGAAATAAATAATAATAATTTGTACACTCAATCCACGACTGTTTGTTGGACGCTGCTGTGCACAATTGGCTGCCGTGTTTTGCCCACAGAATAAACAATCAATTCACTACAGTATATTCTGTGAAGCGCTTTGAGACGTCTCGAAGACATGATAAGGTTCTATATCAAATGCAAGGATTATATTATTAAACAGAAGGAGAAATTAGGATGTTCCACAGCAAATAATAACAATAATAATAATCCTTGCATTTGATATAGCACTTTTCACGTCTTCTCGACGTCTCAAAGCGCTTCACAGAATAGACTGTAAAGTGAATTGACCGTATATTTTGGGTGAAACGCGGCACCCAATCGCGGACAGCAACGTCCCCACAAACAGTCGTGGATTGAAAATGACCAATTTATTATTGTTTTGTTTTGGAGGGATTATTATTAGGACCTATTATGAAAATAATGAATGTGCATTGCCTGTCAATCTGCCGAGCTTCTGTCTATTGTTGTCTCTTGAAAGACTTGTAAGTGGAAGAGAGAAAACTAACAACTTAGTTAGTTAGTCGATCTGAATCGGGTGGTGGTAAAGACTTTGAGTTGGCCTCAGTACCCAAGGACAGGGATGGGAGAATCAGCCAGGGTTCCTGCTTCTGATCACCATCCAGTGATTCCTGCTGAGTCAGGACAGAAATGAACTTGGCTGCAGTACTTCCGCAGAAGCGTAGCTTGCCCACAATGACAGCGAAGCCTCGCACATCAATAATGGACACTTGGGCAAGGCAGAGGAGAGGGAGTGAGGTGCTCAGGGAGCCAGATTACAGTACAGGATGAACAGGAAAAGGAGAAAGAGAATATTTTGTTCAAAAAATAAGTCCCCCTGGGTTTACAAAAAACTGTTGATTTATAACTATAAACACCACTGATCTCCAATGTGATTTGTTTTCCAAATAAGCAAATGGGGGAAAAATATTGTGTGCGTGTCCCCCACCTATATGTGTGGCCGAGGCCACTTCTTTATCATCAGTCACCTGATTCACACCAAGAAAATGTCTGTCCTTCAGTTGATGACAGCAAGCTCTTCATCTTTTGTTCTCTCTCTAACTGGCCTTAACTCTCTGATGACTTGTCATTTGCCATAACCTTTAAAAAGAGAAGCGGTTGAAGGAAACATTAACACTAAGAAACTTCTTAAACAGTCACTTCACATTGAGCTGATCGGGCATGACAAGCCTGATTGACAGAATATGTGTGAGCCATGTATAATGGAATGTGTATTTCCTGTAGGTGTACGTGTCAGTACAATGATAGCTTCAAATCACCTTAATTACAGTCTAATTTTGTAATACTCGACACCAGACACGATTTCAGGTAGTAAGTTAACACGTCCACCCTTTAGGCATCCAAGAACTTGTACATCCTGTCATATTCGGTATTTCAAAAAGTGCAGAAATCCATCAGTTTAATGAACCTTAACTTCTCAGTAATATCACAAATGTTCTCCAGAATGTTTGCTAATTTCCATGAAGCACGCCTGCCAATACAGGAAATTTCACTAGACAGTGGGATCTTCATTTATGCAATGGGCTGGGATGGCAAGGAACATATTGCATAAAAATGAAGCAACATTTTTTGTGCCACCCATCCCAGCCCTTTGCATCAATGAAGATCCCACTATCTACTGAACCCATTTAAAGTAACATTGACCACCAGTGACTGACTTTTAAGGAAGACAATTGGGAAGAAACGTTTAAGGAAGAAAATCAATGATTACGATTTACATATTTCAAGATGGATCTTGATGCATCAGAGATTTGCTTATATTCAACCCTCTTTACATATGTGAGATTTTCACTTAATTCTAATGGCAATAATCTTTGCATTTGATATAACACCTTATCATGTCGTCGAGACATCGTAAAGCATCTCACAGGATTTATTGTAAAGTGTAATGACTGTGTATCTGTAGGCAAACACGGCAGCCAATTTGTGGCCAGCAATATCCCACAAGCAGCCATGAAATGAATGACCAATTTTATCCAGGAGGATTGTTGGCCAGGACACCAAGAAAAACTCCCTTCTTTTTTAAGTAGCGTCATGCAATATTTAACGTTCAATTGAAAAGGCAGACGGAACCTGTGTTTAGCATCTCATCTGAAGGACAGCATGTCTAACATTACAGCGCTCCCCAACACTGCGTTAGCGTCTCGGCCAAGACTATATGGGGTTTGATGAAGCTAGTATTTAACTCTTCATCCACTCCTGTTTTTTTCCCTCCACGTTAAAAACATGAAAGCCCTGTATTCTTTTGACACAACAATCCTGAAAGAACATATTGAAATGGTAATGTATACAATGCAGCAAAACATTTTGTGAGCTCCAATAAAATTTAATTTTCTATAAGCTTCAAATGGTTTATGTAATTTCCTAATTTATGTAATGCTATGTTATATGGTTAGTCCAATTACTGGTTCATGTCTAGCTTTTTGTGACATTGAAATGACTCAGACAATGATTGGCATAAACAGGTTTCAATCCCAGATTCCTGTCGTTTTTCATTTGAGATTCAAGTCTCATTTTCTTTGTTCAGTGACCTGGGGCGGATCAGAAGTTGTTTTGGGAAATCCCTAGATTTAATGTGGACTTGCTTGCCTCATGTTATTTTTCCATTATTTTGGCCCTACAGTAGAACAATAATTATAATAATAATTCTTGCATTTGATAGAGTGCCTTATCACGTCGCTGAGACCCCTCAAAGCATTTCACAGTTTATATTTTAAAGTGCATTGACTGTGTATTTTGTGTATCCCTCTAGGAAGGTAGAGTTAAGTACAAGTGGAAATGTTTGTTGTTTAACAAGGCCATGAATTACATGTCGTGCAAAAAGGTGAAACATACACAATCACTACTTTCAACCTCAGTGACTCGCAGGTCAGGGACAGACGTGCTTGTTACAGTTTGGACTTTGCGAGGTTGCTGGACGGGTCATCCTCCATTGGACAAATTCTTTCAATTTGTCCCTCTTTTGTCCTGCGATAATTGCTAGCGTTTTGAACTGAGATTTAATGGCATCGACGATTTCAGAATAGTTTGCAACCTGTTTGCTTTGAGGAATAATCTGTCGAGACTTGAGATGAAGGTGACAGGGCAAAAACTCTATGGAAAATGTGTTTATGGGAAGGGTGTGTGTATGTTGGGGTGGAATAAATTATTTTGTAAAAAAAAATTAACAGAAGAGAATCTAAGGTGGAGTTAAAAGGGCGATGATGTGCCCACACCATTCATATATCAGGTTATTGATAATTGCAATTCACCCTCATATTTAAATCGCAAAATACATTAAATGTAGATTTCAAAACATTGAACAATATTATAGTTTTCTTCAAACAATGAAAAACTACAAATGTACAGAGTTTCACATTTCAGCTTGGGAACAAAGAGAGGATTTTGCCTTAAAATGTCAAAGTCAGTTTTGCTGGTGGACAATAGAAAACGTATGTGAACTTCAAAAGGCTGCTGAGGGCTTGAAGGGTTATGTCTGCTTTTCATACAGTACTTTGCTTTGTGCCAGTCAATTATCTTGACATTTGTGTTCGACTTCTGAATCTTTTACCGGCAAAGTTACCTGACTACAATCTTTGCCATGATTGAATTTTTAGTCCCATAGCACTTTGTGACATGATGAGCAGATAATTATACCCAGTGTCCCTGGTGTCGCAGCTAGTGACATGATCTCAGCACTGCACCGCATGAATGAAAAACAACCTTATTAATCTTGGAGGAATATACGCAGTTTATTACATTACACGGTGACCTGATCAGAGAAGGTAGATCACAAAGTAGAGCTCTATTATCTGGGCACACAAGGTCATTGCTATTCACACAGTAACGTGATATCAGTTATACCATTATTATTCTTATTAAACACATTTATAATTGGGGAATATAACTGTAAAAAGGTCATACTTGGCACAAAGTGAGACTATTTTCACTGCTTTGAGATATCGCTGCCTCCAATGAGCTCAATTTAACATGTTTTATGAATGAATACAGGTCTAGGGGACTTGAAATTAGATTAGAATGTACATTAGATTAATTAATTAAGCTTTTTAATATCACATTAGAATAACATTTGGAGGTAAAATACCTCTGTATTCTTGCAGAATATAATGCAATAAAAGTAGTGTAGATCTGCAGCAGAATGATCTGCAGATTAGGGGGATTAGTGGGAGAGGCATGCTAAGGTGAATTTTAATTATGACTAAATTGTGATATTACTCTTTCATACCCTGAACATCTGTTCCCTTCAGGAACAATGATTTATGCCCACTATCAGCATGGCCAGCTTGCTACAGCTTATGTCATGCTTAGTGGGGACTGATCGAGATTTTAAGGTATGTGCACTAGAGTGGAGCAAGGCCAATATGCATTAAAGTGATGGGGGGTGGGTGGGGGGAGTGTGGAGGATGGAGAGAGTAAGAGAGATAATTAACTGTATGGAGCCAAATTTTAACTTTACCTTTTTTTACACAGACCATTTGTCATTGACCAAGGCGGTGAGTTGGACAATGAATGGGATAGTGCTTCCCCTTGACAAGGAGCGCGGGAAGACAAAGCCCATTATCTCCAAGCGGATGAAGAACCTGACTGAGAAGACGACTGCCAGAATTCTGGTGTTTAAGAACGGTACAGGTCAGGACGGTTATGAGATCATTTCACCGCTGGAGGAAAAAGAACAGGTAAAATAAGTCATCTGTAGTTCTTGGTACATATCCTTTTTTGGTTCCCGTACAGAGAGCCAGTTTCCAAGTAAAAGTGTGGCTGAAACTTCTGGAGACTGAGAAAATGAACAGCAACTATTTTTAATGGCTTCATTTATCATTTTTTAAAAAAAGTTTTTATATATATATATAAGAAGCTTCCTTATGCCACATTGCACATGGCTGATCATTATTTTAAGCAGGTGAATTTAATTGGCACAAGAACTGGATTTGTACAATTGCAAATTACAAATATTTAGGTAGTGAGGATAATTTTGTTCTGTTAGATTGCTCTTAAAAAAATCTCCGTGGAACATGACTGGCATCTGGCTCACAATGTTGCTGCAAGATGGTAATGTGCAGATTGTTCTGTGGTGGAATATCTTACAATACAAATGTCAGCAAAGTATTTGTATTCCAAAAAACGATCTGTGTCAATCTGTTTTTGAATATACAGGAACAGACGTACAAAGCTTAACACCATGATACATTAAAAATAACAATAATAATAATCCTTGATTTGATTTAGCGCCTTATCATGATATAGCATCATTGAGCACTTCACAGAGTATAGTGAATGTATGTTTGTTTTGTGCTATTCTTGTGCTATTCTAAATATATGTCACGGTGGGGGGGGAATCAAAAGGAACGTCCAAGCAGGAAAACCGCAGTATAAATGACACCTCAGCCCTCGCTGGCATAAGTGATTTTTACAAATACTCCATCAATAATGAATTAACGTCTCAATTCTGCAGTTATTAATAAGGTTTTTTTAGCTAAATTACAGTGCCACAAATAATTATTTCAAGTGTAAAAGTGTAGGTCAAATTCCCAGGAGGAAAACTGGTAATACATTATCATGCAGTGTGAACGCTATTTTTGTGTTCTTAAGATTAGACGATATATTTGGACAATTCTGTAGAATACTATAAATGGAACACTTCGGTATTAAAGGACAAAGGTGAAAGGTTCAGAAATGGTTTCAGCAATGCTCCAAATCCTTTGCAACCCAATGTTTCTTTTGGGGGGTAAAAAAGCACAATAATGTAATGAAACGGATATAAAATTTAATCTTAGAGCAACATTGCATGTCAGCTCACAGGATCCAAGAGGGAAAGATAGAGACTAATAATAGGAGATAGAAAAATATTTATTGAAGCAAGCAAAGTGATAGAAGCTTCAATATATCAAAGCTAAATCACGCGATAGTTAAAACTCTTCAAATTAACGTAAATACATTTGATTTATTTATTTATTTTTTATAATGTAAATTTAGCAATCTAGATTTATCCTCAGAGTTAAAGTGCCTGAAATTCACAGATCTTTTGAAAACAAGTCATGAATGATTGCTGGATTCCTTAATTGCTTTGTCATTTGTCATGTGCATGTCATTTCAGTGGGCTGATTTGACAAAAAAGTTGATTTTCAACAAGAAAATTAAGTTAAAGCTCTGCCAAGGAAACTTCCACGACGCATCCAGATTGCCACCACCAATCCAGTGTTTCTCAGTCAATTTTCACCATTTACACTGCTTATACCTTAGAGGGAAGTTTTGAATCTTAGCACTGATTAATTAGTGTGTTAAATACATGTGCACCAAAATAAATACGGGGTGAAAAAAAAGTATGAAGTATTTTACATTACAGGTTTAAAACTGGAGCCATTGTTTCATCCACCTTCTGAACTTTGAAATCATTCATTCATTTGGTCTGTACTTCAGAATCTCTTGAGATTCCATTTACAGCTGCCAACTCTGTTGTCCTGTTATTGCAAACAATGCAGAAATTGACTCGGGTACTTTCTCTCCATTGCTTTTACAGTCGATTAACATTCTTTGTTCTTTTGTTTTCCTTGTATTTACAGTTTCTAGACATGTGCACTCAAAGGTTAGACCTTTTGACCCGAGGAAAGTGCCTGTATAATTGGATAGGAAAACGAGTGACTCACCTTAAAACAGGTATGTGGAATAGGAAAGTTGCCATATCTATTATTGTATTGAGTTAATAATAATAATAATAATCCTTGCATTTGATACAACACCTTATCACGTCTTCGAGACGTCTCAAAGCGCTTTACAGGATACGCCGCAAGTGAATTAACTGTATATTTTGTGACGAAACGAGTTATACTCCATTGTTTCATTGAAACTTGATGTGTGTTTGGGGGAGCTGTTTTAAGGCTGTTATTTAAATAGCAGCTGATTCTCTAGCTGATTATTACTCCTTGTTGCTTTCCTGTGTGCTGCGTTCCTTTGTTTAAATTTCATGACTTTGGTTTATGTCCCTCTCTTTTCCACGCGCAGTCTAGCTTGCTGCTGGCGAACCTTACTCTGAATTGACTCTTACTGTGTCCCATAGAGTTCTTTCACTAGCATCATGCTCCTTCCTCTCCTCCACCATCTGTGTTTTCGGGCGGGATTTGCACTCATCAGTCTCATGTCTGGCTGGTACATATCTTCCCCACCTACCCACCCCCCTCCCCACCCCCCCCCCCAATCCCCTTCCAAAACAAAATCTCCAGAGAAATCTCAGGTTCTGTTATCTTGCTTATCACACATATCGTCTTTTCTTTATGGGAGGAGAGAGGGAAGAGAGGAGGCATGGTGTGAAATGAAACCGATCTGAAATTGTCAATCTATCTTTAGAAGCCCGAAGCTAGCAGACTTGTACTGGTTTAACAGTAGTCGTAGCGGGGGAATTTGTCAAATGAGATACATTAGAATACATTAGAATAGACAGCATAGAAACAGGCCATTCGGTCCAACTGGTCTATGCTGATGTTTATGCTCCACATGAGCCTCCTCCTGCCCTTCCTCAACTAAGCCTTCAAGCATAACGTTCTATTCTTTTCTCCCTCACATACGTATCGAGCTTCCCCTTAAATACATCTATGCTATTTGCCTCAACAACTCCTTGTGGTAGCATGTTCCACATTCCCACTATGTGTGAAGACATTTCTTCTAACTTCCCTGTTTGATCTATTGGTGACTATTTTATATTGATGGCTCCTGGTTTTGTTCTCCCCCACAAATGGAAACATCTTCCCTATGTTGGCCCTATCAAAACCTTTCATCATTTTAAAGACCTCTATCAGGTCACCCCTTACCCTCCGCTTTTCAAGAGAAAAGAATCCAAGCATGTTCAGCCTTTCCTCAGGAAGGTCTGCCTCTCACTGAAAACGTACATCAGATAGAACATGGATGAAGCCACGGGAATTAGTAATTTAATAGAAATAAGATTTGGAAGGTGGAATGATGAAGATTTTAAACAGGGACAAGACTAGTTAATGTATTTTCATTGTGGGTCCAATGACTCTGTTCCCTAACTAAGAAATTGAGAATCATGAAGGGATTCCAAATTGGACAAGAAACCCGAAGTGTGACTCAATTGACAAACAACTGAAGGATTTATCATGTGATCCATTGATAGTCTTTCCTGGCATCTGGGGGGCAAGGTTAATTGTTTCTTGTGCAAATCATGATTGAGGAGCAGTGTCCTCTGACCTCTGAGATGAGGCATGTGATGTGCAATGAGTTAGCCACTGATGCAAGCTGGAGGAGACTTTTTTTTAAACAAGATGAAGCCTGAGAGAGAGAGAGAGCATCGTTCAGGAGAAACAGTGGTGGTTGATACGAAGTCTAGTGGGGTGTGAATGAACAAAAAGAAGTGTTTGCGAAGCACCTGACCTTACACTTGGCGCCCCGCGCTAAATGGTGAATTGTACACTCAGAACCAGACCCTGTCACTCTGGCGTGTGGATGTGTGATTTGATGAGCCATACCGCCACATCGATCAAACCATCCCTGTTTTATACCCATTATTCTCACTTCTTTCGTAGATAACTGAAGCGTTCTGAGGCTGAATAGCCTAAATGTCCACAAAATATATGGTCAATTCAGTTTACAGCATATCCTGTGAAGCGCTTTCAGACGCCTCAAAGATGTGATAAGCCGCTTTATCAAATGAAAGGATTATTATTGTGTTAAAATTAACCATGGAACAGTTATTTTGACTTTGAGCTACATCATAAAATAAATAAAATATGCTAGATATATGAGATGATTTCATGTTAGAATTTTAGCTAACTTGATAATACAATAATATATATGGGACTGACGAGGGTTCTGTTAAATCTAATACTGAATATTAGTTGAACTTGTCCGAGGGCCTCTATTCAGAAACTCACTGCAGCATTCAGCACAAGTGTAACATTAGCTCCAACTGCACAGTAATCAGATTCAGGAACAGATTAACCTGCATTTTCTGATTACATTTTGATACACTTCTCTGTGTACAACGACCTGATAAGTTAGGTCAGTTAAGACTGTAAACTGTTCTGCTACACCCCCCAACGGTATTTAAGGGATGCGGAAGCTGGGTGGTAGAAAAAGTAAGAGATATAAAGTGTTTTGGAATAGCCCCAAAGCAGCCCCTATGACTGGGTCCTATTCAGAAGCAGCAAGCGTATGATGAGTGTAGTGCTTTTGAATATCGTCCTTTAGATCTCATGCTGTTTCGAGGCAAGCCTGGAACATGGCAACTCTCTTTTACACACACACCGCACACACAACACACATACACATACACACACACACGCGCAGCCTCTCTTCACTCTCAGTTTAACCCTACATCTGATGAACCCATTACTCGAAACATGATTTCATGGAACATAGAATAACTATCGTTACAAATGATCAATCACAATCGTTGAACTGAAGCGGCAGGCATGAACAATTTACACATTTTGGTTCACTTGCTCAAGCAGAAGATGTGCCAGCATATTTAATGCATAACTGCTTCAACAATTTAAGAAGAAAAAAATGTGCACGGCTCATGCCACGTTCTTTTAAAGTGGAGAAGAATTACTTGATTGCGTGCCTACTGCCCATTTATCGCCAGATTGCACACACCCAGATACACACAGAGCAAAAAAGAACCCAGGTGTTTAACAGGGGTTGCAGTGAGAGGCGTTACGGATTTTCTTTATGGATGTATAAATAAATTAGCCTAAGTAATATATTTTTTCCCCCCCGATAAAGCCATGTTCCATTAGGTGCATTGAGAAAATCAACATCTTGTTCCACAACTGTAATGTTGTAAAGCCTGCAGGCATGGGCTGTCAATTTAATGGGATCACTGGAAAGTAAAACAGCTGTGAAAGATTGCTTTAAGTACGGCAGTCGTGTGCCTGTCATTCTGTTCAGTGGTAAAAAAAAATCCAAATTCAGATAGGCATCAATATTTAAGAAAATGACTGCTTAAGCATTTCTCGTGAGCACTAGGGGACAATAAAATGTGACGGCCAGCATGTAAACAATTTTTCACAGCAGCTGTTGGATTAATTTTGTCTGAACAAGAGTGAGGATATCTGTGTTATACAGCTATTTAAACACCTATTGCATTCGCAAAGCAGAACCGTTATAATTTGATTCTCAAATAACTTGGAAATAAAGGCCGGAGGCACTCAGTTGATTGAAAGTTAAATTAGTTCATTAATAATAATAATATTAACAAAATCAAAATGTCTAAGGAAAAATAAAAACAATTCAAGTTTGGTTATTATAGTCATAATTTAATTTTTTTTTGTATTGCAAGTTGTAAACTCAAGCAGTTTGTTTTCATCCAATTCAGTGTTTTAAAACTACGGTATTTCCTGTTTACAAACAATACCCCTTTTTATAAGTAAAATTGTTTATTTGGTTATTTTTGATGCAGTTCATTAAATAATCGGCAAAGATATTGACTGTGAATGTCAATGTGTATAATCAATTTGGGGATGTAAAAGATCATACAACTCAACACATTTTGCAGTTCATTTGTAGCTTTATAAAGGTCGGTGGCAAACATCAGACATTTTGTTGGATATTTCCACGACAATTGTAATCATTGTACACACATCTTCTCCACCCCCCACCCCAACCCCTGGTGGGAAATCACTTAAAAACACAAGGCTGTAGAAAGTTTCAGAACAACGCAAGTTACTTTTCAGCAAGGTTTGTTTCAACTCATCTGTGACAAATGAGAAGATAAGGCAATCAGTGCACACCATGACATTGTGTACAGTTAGTTAGCCACACTTCAAACCTATTCAGGTGTACTTGGAAAGCTTTGTGATTCCTACAGTTGGGGCTCACTATATATACATATACACTTGATGGTTGCCACTAGTCTGAGAATCTAGCAATTGCTCTTGTTAGAGCTTCCTTGGGTCACATATAAATAATAGATGTTGAGACTTAGGCCGGGTGTGTGAAACAAGTGCAGTTTCCGAGATCCAGTTCAAGCTGATGTCTGCGGCTGGGGGTCAGATTGGATGTAAGGTCCTGTTTCTAATGCTCTTCTTCCCGCAGTTCCTTTGCTCGACAAGTGCCTGCAGAATTCCATCACACCTCTGCGAGGACCTGTCTGGGTCTCCAAGGGGGAAGGGTTCATCCCTTCAGGAGCGAAGATATACCTCCAGGGACTTCTTTGGGCCCTGCACCAAAAGCTGAAACCTGCAAGGGATTACAGTAAGCAGGTGAGACGCAAACACTGTTTAGAAGCTACTGTGCTTTTGCAGTTGTATTTTTGTAGTTATAGACAGTGATTGGCACTATGTCATTAAATAAATGTGACATGTATTACATGTGTTCCAGTACCCAGTAGGGGCCAGAATACTTTCACTGTGATCTCTGAGCCAACAATAATGATGCTAATTGTATCTGTCTTTCAGTGTAAGATGTCATGTGCCTAATCTTTCTGCTACACACTGTGAAACGTTACAGCAATTCACACACTTGGGAATGCTGTGAATGCAAATATTTCATTCTGAAAAAAAATTGACAGATGCCACCCCCCCCCATCCTTTCCCTGTCTCCCTCCCCCGCCCCGCCTGTCTCATAAAAATGCTCTTTAAAACAACTGCAGCAAAAAAATGAAAGTTCACAAAAGATTTTCTATACATTTCTGCGAATCAGTAACTGGTTAATTACTGTTGCGAGTAAAACTGCTTTGAGCTACGTGGGCTAAGTAAGATAAATGGTTAATAGTTGTTGGCTGTGTTGCTGTGAAATGCTTTGAGAAGAAATGTTTTGAAACGGAATAATGAAGCCAGGTCATTTCAAAGGAATTTTGACGGGTGCTTTATGTAAGAATCTGTATGAAGTGGGATCTTTATGGATTTAAAAAGATAATGCTGGGAAACGACAAGGATGTGACATGGTCACCAGTTCCCAGGTAAAACAACAGCCCGGGTTACACTAGTAACTCGACTGAATGATCCACCTGTTTCGTTGTTCACTCGTTTACCTGTAATTAACCCATAAAACAAACTCACTCGTCCTCCTGCTCGTTGTGCGTAAAACAAAGTTTTTAAAAAGAATCGCGTTAACACTTTCAGTCATTTCGGGTTGTATCATCTAATTAGCATTCCCATTACATGGTTGTTTTGGTGGCAGGGGTGTTGCAGCTGGAATGTCATTGTGCTCCATTCCTCTGTTTGGGGACAAACACTGCTGTGGAAGGAACGTGTGAAAAGGCCAGAGCATTGCGACTGAATGAGGGAGGCAGTGTTTTCTGCAGGCCTCAAGCTGGGTAGCTGTCATTCACAGCCTCTGCACAGCCAAACAGCTCAAAAAGAGAAGACAGAACCACTTTTCAGTATCGAGTCTGTTCCTCTCTGGCCTTCGTTTCATTTTTTTTATTTTCCTTTGGCATTTTTTTGCACATTTTCGATTCAACCATCAAATAAAATCAGGCAGAAGTAAAACGCACAGAGTCACTTACAGTCAGACCCCTCGAATCACGTTTGAGTTGGTGTGATTTTAAATTACCAAGTACAGCTTGCAACCTACAAGTGTTACTAATTATTGAATGGACATGCTCTGCCCAGTGATGATGGTGGGAGAGAAATAAAATGACTTGTTCTCTGCAGGAACATAGTTCAACAGGTTTTGAATATTTCACGTTGCTTTCATTCGACAGAGCACAGCTCTAAGGGCTCGTTGTGCAGTTAAAAAGATTGTGGGACAGACCTATTCTCTTGGTAAAATGTTAGTCAGTTTGTGGGTTTGTAATCTTTGAGTATTTGCATTGTGGTTGTCTTGGGCTTCAGTAAATGTTTTTTTTAACTAGAAGGTTCATGTGATTTTTCTTCAAAATATTTAGCTTTTAGTGGTCATGTCCCACATCATATCCATCTTGCTTTTTCCTTCAAAACATGATGCTGTTGAGTTGAACTGATGGTATGTTTGAACTTGCCTTTAGTCCTGAAATACTGTAAATAATTCCAATATTTCTGCAGCATGGATTTTTTTGTTAGTGGTGGGAGGGTATGATTCAGTGCCTTAAATGCCTATGATATAAAACAACATTTTTAAAAAAAAATTCATTTTGCTCACTTGACACGTTTGCTACAACAGCATCTGCTGTTTGTATTCTTCGCTGTATGACTTCTGCTGAGCTCACTGCACCCCCAAATGAAAAATAGCAGCGGGTGCTTATATGTGAAGGAAATGCATTATAAATGGCCTAGATGAACGATAACCGTGTCCCTCAATAGAAAGTACAGCTGGAGTCTAGATTTTGAAGCAAAGGTGTACAGATTAAATCCAAACCTAATATGAAGTACTTTATTAATCTCCAACTTGATGAAGTTTCCGCTGATCAATTGTAAAGGGCAAGTGCAATTTCAGAAAAGAGCTGAATACAGTTCCTGCGTTAATGTTCTGTGGATGATTTTCATTTTGGTGCTGTTTTGAAATGTGACACAACTGATATACTGTACAATGTGATAAACCTTTATTGTGACAGTGAGTTTAGCAACACATTATAATTTAAACACCCTATCCATAAATAAAAGAGATATATATCAAGCACATTAAATACTGTATTTAAATATTTTCTACTCGTAAACCGAATGTGAATATCACACTGTGATGGATTTGAAGCACCAGAACATAATGTGCAGAACGTACTGCTGCTTGGATTATTATTGTTGTGTTTATTATTTAGATGGCTTCTCCCAGTATATTGAGTAAATGTACGTTTGTACAATTAATCCAAGTGCTGTATTTCCAATTTATTTACGAGTCAGAAGGAAGCTTTATTTTTATGCATTTACATCACTGCCATACATCTATGTTGAAAGTATTGCAAATCAGATAAGTATGCTGGACAGGATCTTACATATTTTCAATAATATTAGTCTATTTAGACGTAAAAGTGCACAATGTCATTTTGTACAATGATATTAGTAATTCAATCGGCGGTTGGGAAATTGTTAGAAGGAAGATGCTTAAAGGAATACTGCAGAGTATCATTCATTTAGTGCCACATAATAACACTGTCCAGCACTGCCCAACTAAATACAAATCTTTGCTTTTCATGCAGTGCTCTATCGTTTCAAAATATCTCAAAATCTCACAGAGTGTCCATCATATCTGCACAGTTGTGGCTCTGAAAATAGTAATAGTCTGAGAAACGAAGGAGTTCTGATATGTAACATAGCAGCCCCTGAATCATTAACTCATATATCTAGATAAGTACATTTTAAGTAGTTTTTTTCCTCTTTTAGAATTCTCCAAATACTCAGGCATGTTCCATACATATATCACTTTTCTTGAGACTTCTGTGAGTACTACTTTAATTGTACATTAACGTTTTACAATTGAGCCTAATAAAAACTTTTTAAAGTTAGTTTATTGCGAAAGACACTCTGAGTTAGGTAATGTTTCGGTTTTTTTTACCGCTGATTTATTGCTGCAATGCTCACCTTGAGAAATGGACAGGCAAAAGGTGTGGCAAGTACAGTGTTGTACAAATGCAACAATGTCCAATGTTTGTGAGTTGGAAAAATAATATTTTCGAACCTCAAAGAGGTTTATCTATTGCTCAAATAGAAAGAAAAAAAATGTTTTTTCTACACAATTCAGGAAGGTAATTGCTGCTTAACTGCAAATAACAAAGTAGAAAAGAAGGTCTGATAAGCAAGATTATTACTTTACAGGCCATAAAACATCCTTTGTGTTTCTCTTAGCAATATTTCTTTTGTTCCTAACTGTCATTTTCTTTGTAAGTTCTCCTTATTATTAAAGTGTGTTTACTGGAACATAGCTTCGGATGCAGCACTGGTATTTGGGTGGAACTTTTTAAATGTACTTCGACTCTACAATTCAGCTTTGCATTTCAGCTTCGGTGTCTGTACTATTCATTGAAAATGAAGGTGATTACTTCTGCATATTCCTCTAAGGAGTTCCTCTGAATTTAAATTTGTGCATTTATGGAAAATCGCAGGGTCACAACATTTTACAATATGCATTAATTCAACCCAAAAGAAAGCACTGCTCAAAACAAGCCGGTGGTCTTATTTTTGATGTGTGTGATCGTTGTATGTAAATGTATCAATAATAATAATAATAATAATAATGGAAGATGTTGATAGAATTGGCCAAACAAAAGATATATCTGTTGCAATGACTGCAACCTTAGAAAAACGAGAGAAACTGTCTACCTCAAACAGTTGTGGGTAAAGGAATAATAATTCTCTCAAAGACGTAGCTCAGTTTTTGGGGTGAAAGTGATGGGAACGGGAACAAGCTCTAAAAATGCCTCAATGTGCAAACCTAATAGAACCTGATAACTTTCTGGGTAGCTTGACTTTGGTCATTTTAATCGACGTTTTACTTCTATTTTGTGATTTATTCCCCTGCACTCCACCAGGTAGCTTTTTTTTCAAGGGCAGAACAACCTTTAAAAAATGCCCCTCACCACAACCGAGCGATTCCCTAGATGCGGAAAGAATACAATAAATTGATATAATTAGATTGACAAAGAGCTCGTAGCTCCATTAAGAGAATATCAATCCAATATTCTTGTGAACTTCAAAAATGTGAAATGATCAGTGTAAATAAATAAATGATCAGAGATAACAGAAGCAGAACCAGGAAATTTCATTGCCGAAGTATCATTAACCAGCTACCCCATGTAGACTCATTGATAAAGTTTTGCAAGCCACTTACCAACCAAAAGGCAGTAAAGAAACCATTGTCAGCTGCTAGATCTGAGAAACTGTGCTTAAAAAAAACCTAATCGAGGATACAAGAGCGTGAGAACAAAGATGATTATTCAGAACAGGTGTCTACCTTGTTGCAGTATATATAAAAAAAACAATGGTAAGGCATTGAAAGAATTCCGCCTCCAAATCTTTTTGGCCATAACATGCTTTGTACCAATTAGCATGATCAGCAGAATTCTTGTCAAATATTACGTCGAACCCGTCACGTATATTCAGAATTTTTTTTTGCTGTTTACGTAAAATACTGCATCTAGAATCACGCCACAATTTCACCATTTGTACCTTCAACCAAACACAACGTAACATGGACTTTTACTTATGAACACATCTACAGAATTAATTATGGTTGATTAAACTTTAGTAGCCTTGTATCTCAAGCTGTCGAATGCTTGACACTAAATCAGAAGGTCATGATTTCCAAGTCCTGGGGCTACCTGTCACTTAAACTCGCCTGCCTCAGTTGG